TAGTGTGGATGATAAATACCATAGTTTTTACTATCTCAACATTTCAAAACATTAATTGTGGGTACTTAACTCAGCAAAAAGTTTGTCTGCAGTGATTAATCTTGACAAAAATAAGACATCAAGTGTCAGTAACAAAAAACTTTGTTTTTTCATTGTTCGACTCAGATTCTTTTAACCATAGGTTCATTATGAAATGCTATTTTACAGCAACTCATCCAATATTGATAACACAGCAGGTACATTGGATGCTATGCTAAGCGAGTATGATGACATATACTGTAGCTGTCCAATGCCCCGAAGTAGAGGGTTTGTCGATATCTTGTCAATTGCCTTACCTGTCCTATTATGGACAAGCAAGAAGAAATATAGGCTATCCCTAATTAAATGTGTCCAAATGAATTAGATGAAAGCTTTTAAAATTGGAAGAAAAAAACTCATCTAACATAGAAAAATACTACTGTATGCATTTTTCAAATGCAAAAGGGAGAACCTAGTAGTTTTCTAGTTTCAGATATTTCAACTCTATCCACAATAACATACACATTTTTGGCAATATTATGCATGGCTTTAAATATTATTATATTTATATCAGACTAGGCCTTAAAGGTATATTAGATGTTCCAGTCTCAATTTCTTGGGGTTAATGAATAGATCAGGTGCCAATTATGTCCACATACCTCACTAAGCTAATTCTGATTTGGTTGTACAAGCCATCAACTTGTGTGTATAAAGTACAATTTAGCAAATCTTATTTTAAAACAATAGGCAAACCTAACCTCTGGAAGCATATGGAATATTTTGATGACCATACTTTAAACCATGGTTGGTGAAATGGAAATAAACAAGTGCTCATTTTTTTCATCTATCTATCTATCTATCTATCTATCTATCTATCTATCTATCTATCTATCTATCTATCTATCTCCCCTTTCTGATTTAATGAAATTAAAGCATCTTATTAAAAGTCTTCGCACTATGCATTCCAACCTCATTGTGTAATGAATATTGTACAAAGCAAACAAAATTGTGAAGAATTGTTTTGAATTTGAGTATTTTAGATCCAACAAATTATTATCAATATATTGATATTTCTTCTTAAAGATTTATGAAAACTGCGTCTTTTAATAAGCTTCATTTTGATTGCCTGATTAGATTCTGAACCGTCTAAACTTGTACAATATATGAACAAAGTTTAATTCTTGCTGCTTATTGGTAATAGCTAGTTTTGATCCTATAAGCTTTAAATTTAAGATTTATAATTGGTTGATATAGCTGTTATTTACATAAATTGAAAGCATTTGCTATGCATATGGTCTCAGCAAAATACTGTAAGTATAAACAGTGTTAACCACTTGGCCCCCAATGGTCATGCTACTGTATCCTCCAGTGTAGGAAAACTGGTTCTGGCAGGGACCTTAAAAGACAAGAGACACTATGGTAAAACCAGTGCTGAGTTAGAAGTTGAAACATCTTGCCTACAGTAGTTCAAGATTTAGAGCTCAGCTGATTCTGGCAATTTATGATTGAATGAAGTTCCTTGATACTTTTCCAGAAGGTCCTGAAGATGTGGTTCTATCAGTAGACTTGATTGTTTTTTATTGTTTTTATTGTTTATTGTTTTTTATTGGGTTAGGGTGGGTGAGGGTCACTGTGTATGAGTTGGGCAGCCATCTAAAACTGTTTAATAAATTTGTTTAATAAATAAATTATAAACATGAGTTTTTGCCTTGTAAACATTCAATTTCAGCACCACTGATGAGACAGCATTATTTAGTTCACTTGAAAGATGTAACTTAGTCTTAAATGCATGGCAGTCTAAGGAAAAAAAGGAAACACCAGAAGGCTTCAGTTGTTGCTATCACTGTAATACTGATCCTCTACCACTGAGATAATTATCCCATTCTGTTTAATGTAGGACAAGTCCTTATATTTCCAAAGGTTAGGGAATTTCTATACTTATATAACAGTAGCAGTAAACTTCTGATATATTAGGATTAAAGTTATAATTCATCTTTGGTAATGGTATGCAATACAATAACACCTATTTGAATGTAGTGAAATGTTTCACTACATGGACTTGTTCAAATAAAGAGAAATATTTCAGTGATACCCCTTGCTTCATACATATTTACATTCAAAAGCAGTATATAGACAGCACAGAAAGCAATTTGTTTATATACATATTGTAGTAGAAGAGGAAACAGAAAAGGGAATGTTTAATCAAGTTACAAAAAGCCATTAGAATGGGATGAGATGAACCTGTCTTTTAAGCAAATTACAAATCTTAAGTGCAGCTATCAGTAATATGTTATTAGTTCCATCTAAATATATTTATAGGTCATTAAATACAAAATGCATCCCAAAACAATCTCAAAATGAAGATAGGATTATACCATGAAGGTAGAAAGACAGCAGTTTTATAATATTATGGAACCAAATGAAGGTGGGGTATCTTGCTTTAGAGATGTCAAACCCAGTGAGAATTATATATACAAAAGGAAATGGAGTATTGATCCAGAGTGTAAAATTAATATTATGAATCAAAAAGCTTATGACTTTAGAATACTAATCAATCTGATATGTTTTCTCTATATGATCCTTTAATATGTGTTTAATGCATCAATTCACTTTTACAGTTAGCTCTGAATTGTTTCCACTGAAAATGCCTACTTATATAAACACTAAGATTATAATTCACACACACACACACACACAATATGCATAGATACGTACACTTGCACCATTTGAGAATGTTATTATTATATAATACCTGAAGAGTTGCAAAAAAGTTTGTTTTTCCCCAAACTTGAAAAGAATATTTATTTTTATTTACTCCTTATTTATTAATCAATATAAATCTCCAAGTCAAATTATATATACATACATACATACATGCATGCATACGTGTGTGTGTGTCCTTTTTCAAATCAGAGGTATATAAATGTACATTTATTCAGTAATAATGGTGCAGTGTCTATTCATACAGGAATGAAAATTGAAAAATAAAGGAAAAAATCTTTCCTTTATCATATATTTTCCAGAAATATACTTAAAAGGCATTTTTAAGAAAACATCAGAGTGACTGATGCTGGTGCTGTACCACAAGATTGCTTCTCTGATATACTTTTCCTCAGATCCATTAATTTAAAGCATTTGCTAGCTTGCCCATGAAACCTCCATGATTTAGTTACAACAGATAAAAATGATCCTAATATTTAGAGGAGTATTTAGAAACAATGTCTGAATATAAAGAAAACACAAAACAAGGAGAAACATAAATAATATCTCTTTCCAGTTTTCAAGCATTCATGTAGATCGGGAGCTGTACTTTCTATAAATTAAATATAACTATAGATGTCAATTTCACCCTCAGGATGATAAAATGTTCTTTAAAGATAGTGGGCAATTGTTATCCATTCAACAGCTACACAATTCTGTAAATCACCAGTCAGTTGTATAGCTCTCAAGGATTTATCTCTGCCTAAGCCTCAGAAATTTCTGTTTGCACACTAGTGTCAATATACTGTGGCAGACTTTAGAGTCTCTGAGATCATAAAAATATAAGAACATATTTTGAGGACCTATGCAGAGATGAAGATGGATAAAGAAAATAAAAGGACACAGACATGTCTTGCTTTATAAAGTCTAATTTGGAATATGACATCTGGCAGCTATAGTGATATTGTATGTGTACTAATATTGCAGTGTATAACTGTATGTTTTGTTTGTTTACAGCTTGTTGTTACTGTTTTAAGTACTGTATGTAAAATTTGCTGCTAAAGTACACTTTAAAAGTAGTCAGAATAGGTGTCTGAATTAGCATTCAGGTCCAGTCCTGTTTTCTACTTAATTGGAACTGCATACAGTCTGTTCTTTATCACTTCAGAGAATGACGTCACCTTCTGCCATTTGATTAGATCATACTACAGTACATGGTTACCTACCACACTATGCCAAGAAGCCTGCCATATAGCAGTAGGGTAGTCATCTTATCATGCATTGTAGTAATTCTGGCAGTATGCACAGAAAGTCATTATGCAGAGTGACATGAAAGCTGTGTGAAGGTGGCACTAATGATAGTATTTCAGCTAATAATTAAATAGTGCTCTGTTTTTGAAACCAACCGGTAGAGATGAAGCATGAATGTCATGAATATCATACTGAATGTCACATGTAACTGTATCTGCTGCGTGATATTATAAGAACCTACTTTCAAAAATAATACTTTTTTAGAATTGAATATTATATATGTAGTTATATCTGTTTTTCTACCAGGTCAGTGATGCTAAAATTTCTCTAAAGCAATATCCTTCATTCTCTATTAAAGCTCAGAGACTAGGGCTCAAATATGATTTTGAACTCTGGGCAATAAAAGTTTTAAGAGATAAAAAGCTTTTTCTATTTCAGGCCTGCCATTAGTTTGAATAATGCATAAACAAAGGAAAAGGTTTGAAGTACTACTAAGGACCTTCAGTATAGCTTCAATTAAATTATACATCATTATCACAGCTGCCAAGACTGATGTGGGATTTTAGCCTCAGATCTCACCAAACATTCTATGTAGCTGTCTTGTCTAATTTTTTTATTTCAAAGCAACCAATAACTCTCTTAGCAAAAGGGAGAAAATTAAAATGAGAAAACTGGTTTTAGAAACATGCTGAACACAATGTGGCTAATCATTATTGTATTTGCTATGTCAACAGTCAAGCAGTAAGGGAAAAGACTTCCAACTCTATTGCATCAAAATGAAACCTAAGGGAGGAATCAAACCTTACTGTGTCATGACATATTTCATTCTTAATGAAATAAAAGCCTACATGTTATTTCTGTTACTGAAGCAATGGGTTGTATCAGATAAGCAAGTCTTTGTTAAAATTCACATTATTCTTCCTTAATGTACATTTTCAAACTGCTTTTCTATGGTTTAGAAATAGTTTTTTTAAAAATGTTTATGCAAAATTAGCAAAATTAGCAAAAATCAATACATATGACTATTTTGCTCAACTTCTGTCATGTTTATGACAAATGAATTGCTTGTCATAAGTGGAAAACTTCTGGCCCAGCTCGATATCTTTCTCTGCTCAGCATTTAATTGTGCTTGGCGGCATCTTCAGCATCTACAAAGTAATGATGTTAGAAAAATTTAATACAGTCCATGAAATAGTATATATAGTCCTGAGTTATAGTCTCTCTCTCTCTCTCTCTCTCTCCCTCCCTCCCTCCCTCCCTCCCTCCCTCCCTCCCTCTCTCTCTCTCTCTCTCTCTCTCTCTCCAACATGCCATGCTCCTGAATTAGAGGTACTCTTCATCATCTTCTGGTCTTTCAGTAACCTTTTCTAGATTGGATCTAGATAGGATCAGCAGCCAACTTCCCCTAAAACTAACAATCTATTTCCCACTACCGCATTTTGCTAGCCAGCCGATTTTCAAAAATCTATGAAAAGACAAAATTTATGAAAAAGAAAACTATGAAAAATTTTATTCAACAATTGTCAAACTATCCCCTCTAGTGTCAGCTCAAAACAGTAGTGTCCGCACGTTTTAAATCTTTCTAAAGTGTTAGAATGCCAGATGAGAACACTTTCTAAAACAAAAATCCAGACTAGACGTTTTCCTTTGAGAATTTAAAGTAGCTTTAAAAAAGAAAGAACAATGGAAAGAAAGGGGGGGGGAAATACCCCCCCCAATAGCATAAAGATATTATAAAGTAACATAAAAGAAAAGAAAAGAACCTGGTATAATAAATATATCATAACTCTGAATTCTCAAATTTTGAAATCTTAATCTTTCAGTTTTCTATAATATGAACATTATAGTTTTATAATTATAACAAGTCATTGTAGTTCAATTTTTGAACAATTAATTAAACTTTGTATTGCAGTACATTGCTATCTTATGATATGTAGGATAATATAATTCTATATTCTAGAATTGCCCAAACAAACCCATGTTTGTTTGTTTTTACTGATAGTATTGAACAGTTTGCTCTCTAAAAGTCCTCAAGTATGCTTAAAACTTCAGAAGGTGCTAAAGCATTAGGAAAAACAAAGAACATAACCAATATTTTATATTTGTTTCAAATTACTATCTTAGTAAAATCTGTGTGTAGGTTGATGCATATTTAATGTGGTCATTCTGAAATGTATCAAAGGTTTGCAATCACAGCAATCTAATTTTGCTTAAATAAGTTCTTAGAATCATTGAGATATTACATGTAAATGGAAATACCAAGTGTCTTGCACTTGTCAGTGAAAAAGTGCCTCAAGCTTCTTAACAAATGGAACTGTTATCTATATTTGGAAGCTTCATGACATATTAAAGTAGTTTATGAGGCACAATTTGTTTTGGTGGTCTGTTCTGATTTATGACATGTTATCTGCCACTGTTTCATCTGCAGTGGAATTTCTGTAATAAATGTTAGTAGCTGGACAGTGCTAAATGTGTTCTGTCTAAATCATTCCTTACTTATAACAAGTTTCAGTGTATATGAATCAAAGATTGTTTATAGGTGCTGTCAGATTAATTCATCATTTGAAGCAGTTCTATCGCTTCAAATGGGATATCAGAGACTTGTACCTCAGAATGTTTAATACTCAAGCTAATATATATTTTAAATGTTAAAGTTATCAACATTATTTTAATTATAATGAATACAATACATTTAATACCCATTAATAATGTATACAATCATTTTAAAAAGCAAAAATGTTAAGACTAGACTTTTAGAGGAATAAGGAATATAATTTATTCCATTTAAAATATTTTATATAAAAATATAGCTTAACGATGTGAAAGATATTGAAGACTCACCTAAATTTATCACATATGTGAATCTTTTCTGTTCCCTTTCTTGATCAAAATGCACAGTAGTACGACAAAATCATGAATCTACAGGGAACGAAAAAGTAGATAAAATATGACAATTGTATCATTGCCAACTGCCTTTCCAAACATACAGGCCAACATTTTCATAAATATCAAGTAAACTTTCTCAGAGCCACAGTTAAAGCCATAATAGAACTTGATAATCAAAAGCTTAATCCTCATTAATAGTGATCATGATCAAAGTAGGATAAGTGTTAAATCAAACTATTTAGAAATGTGAGCTTTCTTTCTGTAGGATTTCAATACTATTTGTAAATCAATGGGAATTGGATATATGCCCTTCAAACCAGAATGTAAGACTTTGAGAACCTGAAATGCAAAGTTCCTTTCACACAATTGATCCTTTCAATCTGTATGAAACTTCACCAAATGTAAACTATGTTTACATCTTTTTTTTCTTTTTAAAATTCTTGTGATACAGACCTAAAAAGAATTTTAAAAAGAAAAAAAAAGAAAATATAGTAATAATTTCCCAAAACATGCAATAGCAGATTCCCCTCCCCCTAAAAAAACAGGATTTTTCTCATTACCAATTATTTCCTTTCTCCTTTTTCTAGACTAGGAATGTCAAACTTGCAACATCACATGACGTGTTGTGATGTATCACAACTTTTTTGCCATTGCCAGCAATGTGATGGGCACAGTTTTGCTACGATGCATCCGGCCCGTGGGCTGGCTGTTTGACACCCCTGTTCTAGACTGAGAGGGATACTTTTAAAGTAACCATTTTGATTTTTTCTAGAAAATCTGTGAACTTTCTCTACCCAGAGGCCAATGTTGAGAGTAAAAATGAGATTGGACTTTGGTACTTTAGGTTGGAAAAGCCATGTTCTAATAATGACAATAAAAATAAACAACAATGTGCTGGTGGATCAAAAAGTTGTTGTGACTACATTTTCTTCATCAGATGCCAAGGATTTTTTTCCAATGCAAATTCTTTTCTTACTACTCCGAATCCCCATATCCCATATACCAATTGTAACATTGTTTAGTATGTCATATTGAATCCCAATTGTTAGAATTATAAACCATGATTTATACTCTATCTTGTTTAAAAAATATTTTAAAATCTTGTCATATCATGAGGTATGAATTCAATTTTTCTGTAAATTGAACTGGAGAGAATGCCATCTCAGTCACAATAAAGAAGTTTCTTTGGTTTTTTTCATAATCATTTCTGGTGCTTGACCTATTATACACACACATCAGAATTTCTTTAATCTTTTACTCTTTTCAGAAATTTTCTTGTTGGTCTTTCACTTACAGTTCCCTCTCTATAGATCTGCAAATGTTTATCTTGCCTCCTCATCCCATCCTCTTCCATATTTACTTAGATATTCTATGCCAGATATAGGGTTTTTTTTTGCCAAAAGGTTTCAAGATCTGAGTAGTTTCCTAGGTCAACAGGAAAGATGTAAAATAAACTATATAATAATAACCCAGTATTAAATACAATTTCAATATTTTCATATTCCTTTATCAAAAAAGAAGTTACAAAGCACAAGTTATGGCTCATAAAGATCTGATTTGTTGTTGAAATTGTATGAAGTTTTTTGATGTATTTTAACAGTCAAGTGGCTCACAGCCACTTAGTAACATTGTGCCTGTTGTCATGCATATATCACAGCTGCATCTGATGGCATAATTAGGAAGCAACTGCATTACAATTTCATAAACTATGAAGAGAATAGAAGGCTTTAAGAAATCAAAGTATTCATAAAATTATTTTAATTATTTGTTTATATTTACATTCATAAATATATAAATTTATTAATTATACCTTTATTCATTTATATGTCACCCAACTCCCAGCTTGAAAGAGTATGAAAATTATAGTTATTATTATTTTACTTTATTTCCAGCTTTCAACAGATTTCTTTTGAACATAGAAGATACAGCATGCTGTCTCAAATACTATATAGAACCTAGTTAGTATCTCAGTTTGACTCATTTTATATGGCTACTATTCATGAGCACACTATATAGCCATTTTGGTTACAAAAACTTCTGTTGATTTTCAGGATGCTTCAAAGGAAAATTTAGGCAATTGTCATTAGACTGGCTGTGCTGCAGCAACAGTTATTCTTTCTATGAATTATGGGCATCAGGTTGCTATCTTTCTTTCCATAACCTTCACACAATTGCACTGTGCAAATGGCTCTCCTTTGCTTCTATCTGACCATTTTTCAACTAGGTTAATAGAGCTATGGTAACAATATACCAAGCTGTATTTCTTTCAACCAACAGCTTTTCTACCATAAGACATTTTACAATATTTAGTGAGGAAGAAAAATCTATAGTAACAATATTGACTTTGTTCTTTGGAAGGCTAGACAATGACAAATAGCACCTGAGAAGAATGCACACCCCTTCCTTTTATCCACTTTTGCACCCAGTACAACAAAGGCAGCCCTTGTTTGTTTCAAAGCATATAAATTAGTTTTTCAATAAGCATGCTGTTGCTACTGAGTTATGTACATTTATTTTTGAACAAAACAAGTTAAAAAACACATATAATACACATATTGCAGAAGAAATAAAAAGAGTTATAATATTTGTTTTATTTTTAAAGGAATAAAATATAAAATATGGAAAGGATTCAGAATTATGTATGATATTGTCCATGAAATGCATTTTTGTTAGTCACCTTTCCTGCATTTTAAGACATTCTCTGACTAAAACAATAGTTAATAATCTTAAATATATTCTTTTTTCAAGAGAGTCTTTATTTTAAAAAGACTACTAAGGTAGTTTCTTCAAACAATTATGAATGTATTTTCATTTTCCTTCTTTCTCACATTCTGTTCTTTTTGTGTGATCGTCATATGACATTATTTTTCACAACTAACTTACTTAATTTTTTTCTTCCTTTAATTGGAAATCACAATGATTTTGGTATATGACAATAAAGCACTAAGAAATACACAGGTTTATTCATTTTCCATTGCTACCACTCTTCCTTTTTCTTTTTTTGTCAGAATTTCCTGTTCAAACATTTTTCCCTTTATCAAATAAGGGGAAGATTCTTAAAAGGAACATTGGCAATTTCTTTGCTGTATATTCTTCTTCGTCCAAAACAAGTCTGCCCTTTCAGGCAATCTATAATGGATCATTAAACAACCTGGAATGAAGTCTTCAGGCTCACAATCTGCTAGGTCCTATTGGCTCCCTGTTGCAGGTACACTTCCATTTCACAACTGTGACTCTATTATTTTGTCTTGGCTATAAGAGAGATTAGACACCTGGATTTCATAAACTTTTTTTCTGTTTGAATGTGACTATCGCTCTCCTGGAGATTATTACAAAAGAGTATGATATAACTCAAAGCCTAAGCTTCCCTATTTAAAGTATAGCTCTATTGATATCCTAATAGTTCATCTTATTTCAGATTTAAATGGATTGCTAGTTCATTTAACAAGGACATGTAAATCTAAGGGTTTTACTTAAATTATATTGCCTGAGGAGAAAAGTTGATGTAACATTTTATATGGTGATGATATTGTTCCTTCATTACAATTTGACTGCACAAAACAAAACAAAAGTTTGTTCTTCCAGTATTGCACTACATCTTTACTGAGAATGAGAAAGACTTGTACAGAATTGGCAGAGATTAAGAGGCACTGAGGAAAGAACTGGAACAAAGTCAGAGTCAGCATGCTGGGACTATATCATTCTCTTCTCTTTAGTTAGCTGCATGCAAGTTCTAACTCCTCTTCCTACTATGCCATACAGTCTAAGTGATTGAATCTGTAGTATCATTCAAGATTATTGCAGGAACTTCTCCTGGAAGCCAGTCTAGGCTGAGCACAAGACATCCTGAGGCAGTAATGTCTCAAGCGCCCAATTAGTGATAGATACTATGCAAATAGTTCCCTGTCTGGAAGCAGTAGAAGCTGGTGAGGAGTCCAAGACTTCCCAAATTCCTTTTCTAATGCAAATTGGACTAAAATACTGCAACCAATTTTGGTCACCATACTACAAAAAAGATATTGAGATTTTGGAAAAATTTAGAGAAGAGCAACTAAGATGATCAAAGGCCTGGACACTAAAACATATGAAGAATGGCTGCAGGACTTGGGTTGGCTAGTCTAAAGAAAAGAAGAAATAGGGGTGACATGATAGCAGTATTCCAGTATTTGAGGGGCTACCACAAAGAAGAGGGAGTCAAATTATTCTCCAAAGCACCAGAGGGCAGGACAAGAAACAATGGTTGGAAACTGATCAAAGAGAGAAGCAACCTAGAACTAAGGAGAAATTTCCTGACAGTTAGAAGAATTAATCAGTGGAACAACCTGTCTCCAGAAGCTGTGAATGCTCCAACACTGGAAGTCTTTAAGAAGAGACTGGACAGGCATTTGTTTGAAATGGTATAGGGTTTCCTGCCTGAGTAGAGGGTTGGACTAGATAACCTCCAAGGTTGTTGTTGTTGTTATATTATTATTATTATTATTATTATTTAATAACACCATGTACCTACAGAAAATTATCTATATTTATGATAATTCAAGATTGTGAATTGTAGATCTGTTTAAACTGTAACACAGGCATTGATAAACTAGTGCAGGGGTATCAAACTCAATTTCATTAAAGGCCGCATCAGCATTGTGGTTGCCCTCGAGGGGCTGGGTGGGTGTGGCCAGGGTGGGTGCAGCCTACTGGGTGGGCGTGGATGGAGTGGGTGTGGCATATTGGGTAGGCATGGCCAGCTCTACATTGTTCTACAAGGGTGCCTGTGAGGGCCTGGGCAGGAGTGGGACAGATCTGAGGGTCTCTGGCAGAAGGGGGTGGGACCAGAGCAAGTGCCAAGGCATGGTCCACTGGAGGAGCCTCACCATTCCTCTCAGGCCATGCGGGGGGGGGGCTGGATGGTGGTGCAGGCTGCCCAGAGCCCTGGGCAGCAGAGGTCAAATGCCCAGCCTGGCTCTTGAGCACCTGCAGCACCAAGCCCAGCCGCACTTCCCCAAGGGGGTTCCCAGCTACACTTACCTCCTCCTCAAGGCTGCTGCTGCTGTGCTTGCTCTCCTTAGCCAGGTTGCTCATGATGGGTACGAGGGCAAAGTCAGAGGGAGACCCATTCCCTCTCCATGGGAGGAGACCCGGCTTTGTATCCAAAGCTTCCTTAGCAATAGGATGGGAGACCCCCAGGATAGGCCAGGAAGAGAGGGCAAGGGGATGGTAAAAGGGCAGCAAGGCAGGACTAAGGCAAGACTTCCCTCAGACCCTCCCTCTCCTTTTTTCCTTCTTTCTTTTCTTCCTTCCTAAGTACAGAGTGGTGAGATGAGGGAGGAAGAAAATCAGGCAAGAAACGCAGCTGGGGAGGTGTCATGCTTCGTGAGGAATGACGAAATGCACCATCGCCTGGAAGTGGCCAGCACATGGCCCTCACCTACTTGACATATCTGGCTTGGTGGGCTCTGGGTGAGGGGATGCCATGAGCAGTGTGAGAGTCAACATTACCTGCACAATGCCACCCAGCCCCCAGCCTGCCCGATCTTGGCAGGCAGTGGGACGCATTCCTCACAGCACCGAGAGGCTGAACCAAGCAGCACAAATCCAAAAAGAAGTGTGATGCCACCCAGTCCCCAGCCAAGAGGTTGAACCGGGCGGTATGAAGCTCGCCAGCTTTGCACCTTGCTGCCTGCTGAAACTGGGCAGGCTGGGGGCTAGGCAGTATTGCACTTCTCATCAGTTTCGTCCCACCCAGCTCAGCTCTTGGCACTGTGAGGAGAGCACCCCGCTGCCTGCCGAAAGCAGGCAGGATGGGGGCTGGGCGTCAATGTGCTTCTTTTTGTATTTGCGCTGCCCAGCTCAGCCTCTTGGTGCTGTGAGGAGAACGCCCCTCTGCCTGCCGAAACCCCTCCCTCAGAGCCCATCAAGCCAGATATGTGAAGTAGGTAGGCAAGGGCCATTTTTTGGCCACTTCCAGACGATTGTGCATTTCTTCATTCCTCACAAAGGGTGACACCTCCCCAGCGCACATCCAGGGGGCGAAGCCAAAGCGGCAGGGGCTGGTTCCTCGCTGTTTCCAGATGACCTTGTGGAGCTGAGACTGAATGCGTTTCAGCATAGATGGCCACCACAAAATTGTACATTGGCTCCCAGCTGGCCTGGGCCAGGGCCAAGGCAGCAGGGGCCATTCCCTCACTGTTTCCAGGATGGCTTCATGGGCCACATGAAATCACTTCACGGGCCACATCTGGCCCCTGGACCTTGTATTTGACATGTCTAGACTAGTGAATAAGAATACTGAAAATTGTTGTTATTTGCCATATGCTTTTTAAAATATTATCTTTACACATTTTAACATATACCATTACAGTATAATTGCTACTCAAAGGAAATGGCAGCATGAAGTTCAATGCCATATGAATTAATGGGTGAGATACCTAATAGCATGTGTATATTTTAATTTAATCTGATATGTAATTATCTTGACGGCCAATGTAGATATTTATATTTAGATTTTTCAGTGTCATGGTTTCAGAGAAAGCAGGTTATTACAGCAAAGTTAAGCAAATGTATCATTTAATGTTTATAACTAGGTCATTGGTTGAATTGCAAATTTGTCACTGAAGAAAGTTCAATTTAAATATTCTGTTAGTATTAAAGAATGAAAGAGTTTTTTAAAGCTCTCCCTTTCAAAACAAAAAAATCATAACATAAATAAGCACTGAAGCCTTACACAGATATTCATTTTCTGACCAGACAGGCAAAATATCATCTAAACATTTCTCCAATCATTTTTGCATGCTCTTTTTTATTCAGAATCTTTTTAAACAGTTATTTGCAGCTTTCTCTTTGATGCAGTTTTTCTCTCTCTGAATGTAGCTAAGTTTTGGTTAGATATTTGTAAAATTTGCCCTACTTTGACTACATTGATTCATAATTATTAAGTTTTACTCTAGCTTTTATTTCCTGTTTCAGAAATTGTTTCTTCTTGCAATCAATGTAATAATGCTTAGCATTATTTTATTATGACTTTCATCGTATTGTTAATGTAGATTCATTTTGAAGTGGATCGGAATGGGATTACTAAATAATACATTCTTCTTCTTCTTGTGCCATATCTGTTATCAGACATTGGCGATCATGTTGGCAATCCAGTTTTTATCAGCAGCCGCATGAAAAAGTGCTGCTGAGTTTTGTCCCAAACCAGTCCCTTAGATTTTGAAGTCATGATGTTCTTCTTCTACCTGGACCTCATTTGCCTTCAATCTTTCCTTGGAGGGTTAAATGGAGTATGCCTTATTTTTCTGTGTGTCGCATCACATGTTCGAAGTATTCTAATTTTTGTTTTTTAATTGTTTTGATGATTTCCCTTGGCTTTCCCAGGTGGCTTGTCACCTCATTTCTGATCTTGTCAACCCAGCTTATACGTAACAGTGTCTGTAAATCCACATTTCAAATGCTTCTAGTCTCTTCAGAGACTAACTCTCTACTCCATAGAGCAGGATAGAAAAAATATAGCATCTGACAAGCCTGATTTTCAGTCTTAGACTTATGTTGTGACTGCAGAAGACCTTTTTCATTTTGAAGAATGCTGTTCGAGCTTTCTCTATCCTTGTCTTTATTTCAGTGGTCATGTCCCAGTTTTCATGTAAATTAGAACTGAGGTGCATGATCCTTTCAACTTTATCTAGTGATATTCCTTCTGAATGTATTGGTGGTAAATTAATGGGTTGTTTGCTGATGACCATGATCTTGGTTTTTGAGGTGTTAAACTTCAAGCCGTATTTTTCAGATATTTCTGTGACTCTGTTGATGAGGAGCTGAAGGTCTTCATGCTTACTGGCAAGCAGAACTGTATCATCAGCATATCTTAAGTTGTTGATCCAAACACCGTTTACTTTGATGCCAGCATCGATGTTCTCCAGTGCCTTGTTGAAGATTGGCTCAGAGTAGATATTGAACAACAGTGGAGACAGAATACATCCCTGTCTGACTCCTCTTCTTATTTCTGCATCAGCTGAGTATTTTTGGCCTAGTCTCACATTTGCTACCTGATGCCAATACAGATTCTTTATGATTTGGATGTCTTTGTCATCTAGTTCCCCTTGTTTCAGGATTTTTAATAGTTTGCTATTAGTTAGTTATTTTAGCAAAAGTTTTTTCAAAATCAGTGAAGCACATGTAAACACTGTGACTGACATCTCTACAATGCTGTACAAGAACTTGAATGCTGAATAGTGCATCTCATATACCAAGATTGTTTCTGAAACCAAATTGTGTGTTACCTAGACGCTCTTCAATTTTGTTGTATATTCTTGTGTGAATTATTCTCAGGAATATTTTCAGGGCATGACTCATTAAGCTTATTGTTCTGTATTCAGTACACTTCTTTGCATTTATTTTTGGAGGGTTGTCACAAAAGTTGATTTTAGCCAAACTATTGTCTTCCAGCAATTTTAAAATTTCTACTGGGATATCATCAGGTTCTGTGGCTTTTCTTGTTCTTGCTATTTGTATTGCATGTTCAACCTCCTCCATAGTGATATTTGGTCCAGTTGTTATACTTCCCATATCTATATCATCCCTAGTGTCCTCAAAAAGTTCTTCAATATATTCCTTCCATCTTTTTAGTTTTTCATCCTCACCTAAGATAATTTTCCCCTCTTTGTCAACTAAGTTGTTGGTTTTCTTTTTGTAGAAGCCTAGAAATAAACTAATCCATATATCTGTCACTATACTGATGGATTCAATTATACAAATGATATAAGCATATAAACATCTGGATCTGGCCTAAGAATTCTTGATTTTAAAGGAGCCAGATGTTTTGGCAAATATGTATTATAAGGATTGATTATATGAGAATATTGTAGGATGACCAACCTCCCCACCACCCTACACATGCCACCTTAATATGCCCTTTACTTTCAATGAACTCATCAGTAAAACAAAAGACTGCTTAAGCTTTTTAACACCCAAGCTAATGGTAACAAAGCAAATTGGCAAATATCAGCAAGTTATCTAAATAAGAGAATCTCCTCTAGATATTACAAGTTCCTCATTTCTTTGCACAAAAATCATCCACATTTTCCTGACATAACACTCCCCTCCCCAAAGTTGCCACTAGTAACTTCTAAAAGATAAATATTGACCCCAGTGAGTCAATTCATATCATCCTCTCTATGGGACCCTGTGAGAATAACTCCCAAAAGGTAGACTGGGTTTACACACTTTCTGGGGACAATGTGGGGGAAGACTTTTCTATAAAGGTAACCATTCTTAAAACTGTAATCTTGTAACTACCTTCATTTGCTAAAGATGTTGAATAAACTTTGCTTCTGCTCCAAGCAATTTATCCTGAGTGGTTTTTGGACTTGAACCAGAACTTTCTTCTAACAGTTATCAAGCTGTTGACTAGAATAAACATTTTGGCAACTAGATTGATTTTACTAGGCATATATGTCACTCTGGCCATTGTTAGCTCTGAATTGACTACATCATCTATGATATCATAGATAATAAAAAGTGTAATCATTTCAATAATAGATATATAAAATACCATATTTTATATTGTATTCAAAATTGAAGGGCATTTCTAAATTCTGTGCATATAAAAATACTTGACTAAGGTGTGTATTCTGTTAACAATTTGAATTGTGAAACTTTTTTCATGTAAAATAATATTAACCTTGAAGAACCATACTATTTTAAGAGTAAATAAATCTTATATTCAAAATGTACTCCAGTGTATATGCAAATATAATCCTTCAATTAAAAAGTCCATAAATAAGTATTTACAGAACAGATTGTAACAGCCTCCAAGGGAGTAATTTGGCTTTCAAAGTCAATTCCTGTCTGCCTGAATGAGTATTTTAATTTCTTACATGTACAGTCACATGAATACAAACCATGTTTGAATAGTGTAATCAGCATTATTATCAGCAACATGTATACAGTTAGAATATTAGGAGAAGTTATGCAGAGTAAAGAGTCTGTGTTTTTAATTAGAAATTATTAACTTAGAAGTATTTAAGAAATTGATTCATAGAAGGAGAATAAATTATTGGGAAAATAATATATATTAATATAAAATCGGTATATTTCTCTACAATACTATTCATCTATTATTAGTCAGAACAAAGATTGGTGTGCTCAACTTTAAAGTATATTTTAGTTTTTCTACTCTTTAGAATGCTTTAAACTAAGTACAACAATTTCCTTATTCAAAAACGTAATAAGTTGTTTTTAAAAACCTTGCTTGGTTCAAATTATACCCTTTAAACAGTGGTGGGATTCAGCCAGTTCGCACCAGTTCGGCAAAACTGGTAGCTAATTTTTTGTTGCCCAGGCCCAGAATGGACTTCTGGAAGCAGCATCCAAACAAAGTGTCACATGTTCCGACTAATGAAGCACTTCAAAGAACTTTCAGGCATGTTTCCTAAAATCTTTATTGCAGAGCTACAGTTTTGCCGGTCACCATGATGGACGGGTTGATGCCAGAATCTGAACTTCCTTTCGCTGGCATCAAGCTTTCCTTGCCAAACCCCTCCCTTCTCATGCAGTCACAGGTCACATTATCCAATTAGTGAGAAGGTCAAAAGTTTACTTCCTCTTTCTTTCCCGGGCTTTTTCCCCCCCCCCCCCAGTCTAAGCTAAGTATTAACCCAATAAATACCAGACAGTTTTGCATATTGTCAAAGCAAGAATATATAGTATTTGCAGCATTGACACAGAGATTGTTCACATATTTGAATCCCACCACTGCCTTTAAATTATTTTTTAAAATGCATGCCTATATTTCCATCTTCAGTTGGAATACTGCTGATCTGTCCTTTCATATCTTGTCCAACAAATATGTATTATTATTACTTTATTAGGTTCATCTAATAGGGTGAAAACAATTAAAAGGGTCATGGATGTCTGTCAAAGTGTAACTGCACCATTTGATACTTAGAAAATTGTACAGATGACAGCTATTCATTTTTGCTAGGCAGAGCAAGGGCACAGCATGCAAAGATGAAGAAATACTCTGAATATTATCCTAATAACAGTTTATGAACTGCCCTGCTGGTTTTTTCTAGTTTCCCACAGGGATGTGGGTCTTTTTATTTGAGTTACTATAACCTTGGGGAAATTGCATACAACCTTCTACCTAAAAATATTTTATTTTATGTTTAAAAGTCCATGAATCTTGTAAAACAAGAATTCTTTTTCTGTGTCCTCTTCTACTAGACAATATGTGTTCTGAACATATTTTATGTTACACTACTGAGGACCACATTTTAAATATATAACATTTTTCTTAATGAAATTTTTGACATGATAAAAACAATGCAAATATTAGAAAAGAAACAAAGAAAAAGAACAGCGAATAAGTGAGAAAGAATAACAAAATAATAGAAATGAAAAACAAAAGAAAAATATAGCTACCAGGTTTTTTGACAGCAGCTATAAATGCATTTATCTTTTATCTTCTCTCTCTAAGATTACATTATAATTTCTTTCTTTTCATAAGTTATGTTTACTAATCTTTAAACTCAAAGATAAGTTCATTTTTTTCCTCTTTTTTCATCAAACATCCATTAGGGGTTTCCAGTCCCAATAAATATAGTTAGTGATCTTTCTCTAAACAAATAAGTTAGTTTCATATCTCTGCAAGTTCTCTGATCTTTACCAACCATTCCTCCACAATGGGTGTTTCAGAATCTTTCCATTTTTAGTACATAATCTTCTCACAAAGTAATCATATATAAGCAGAATCTTCCATGACTCTTTTCTCTTCATCAGTCCCAGCAGGAAAAGTTCTGGTTTGTATCATTATATGTATCTGAATCTGAATTTTCTGGTTATAAGTTCAACTGGATAATAAAAATGACCCTTGATGTTGTCCACATTTCCAACATATTTGAAGTACTATTCTAGACATTTTTCCTAGAGTCGTATATCAAAGGTACATCATTTTATAAAAATTCTAAATTATTAAATTTAAAGTGTTTTTAAAATATTTCACTATTTCATCAGTGTATTGTATACAAGATCCCTAGCCCAACTTGTCATACAGTCTTTCACTTGTTCTGTTTCAAATTTCAATCAAAGGTTATATGTTTTGGCATATTCATCAAATTCATCATTTATATGTAATTCAACTTCAAATGCTGCCTTCTGCTGGTCAAATACAATGTCCTATTTTCTATTTTGAATAGTTATCTTAATTGTGCATTCGAAAATCATTAAAAACCATATTGTAAATTGATCTCCAAATGCCCCTTGTCAAGTAATGTACTGTACATCAAAATTATACCCATATCTTAGAAGGAGATAGCAGGGATAACACATACATTGAACTTTTACTGAGTAGTAATTTGAACATTTTTCTTAGCTTTGCAGAGTGCTGAAAGAATCTGCAGAGAAAGTTTACTTTTATACAGACCAGTTCAGAAAATAATCCTCATTTGCTTTCAAATACCTCCATTTACATTAGGACACCTGGTTTGTGAAAATAAAGTGTTATAGATGTGTAAAAACCTTTTTGAAAAGATGCAGAAAATTAATAAAATTAATGTAGGGCTATTGTAATGGTATGTGGGAAAGATCTTGGGGGACTGGGCAAAGAGATACTGCCAAGGGAATGGTCAGAGCATAGCCCACAGTTAGATAGTAAAAACTGTAAAGGAGATGGGGGAGACTTTCTTGCTTACAAGATTGATATTGGCATCACAGGGTAAACCAGATAGGATCACAACCAGATGAGCTAATTCTACTTTATTGTAAAGCTACACGGCAGGATCTTGTGGAATGTCAGCTTCAGGGGAGACAAAGGCAGGAATCACATGAGGTGAATCAAATACTGGCACCACTTGAGCAGCTGGAAAAGTTAGGTGATGATAGCATTAAGGCTCCCAGCCACTACTACCCCACATACCCAACAAATAAAGAACAGAGAAAGGCAGAGACAATCTATGAGACCAAGCAAGGGATCTTTTGATCATCTTTTGATAGCAGCAGTCTATTTAAGAAGTAGCTCTGACCCATGTTATTTTTGCTGGAAATTCCAGCTCTTGTATGACATCTCTGTGTAAGAAACCTTGGGACTAACCTTTGGATTGGCTAACAACCCTGTCTTGACTCTCTGAATCTTGGACCAAGTTTGACTATTTTTTCATGTTCCAATTAAAAAAGCAGATCTTTCAGATAAGTGTCTGAGACTGTGTTTTGGTTCACATGCTGGACTATTGTTATTTCTTGACCTTGAGGAAATGAAGAGATACCATAGCAAATATGAGTGAGTCAGTAATTGAAATTTGAAACAGGACAAAGCCTACAATCATCTAGACAAAATACTGTGATCCAGAAGAATCAAGTGATTAAGTTCTCACACAGGCAGACAGAGCAACTCCAATATCCCTTCTGGATGTTGGATTAAAATGGATTCACATGATTAGATGTATCTGAAATTATAAAGATACCACCTTGACCCTAAATGGTATATTATATACATCCATTTAGAGAAGGGAGGGTGAAGTTTATTCTTATAATCATTCAATTTAAAGAGAAGGAAAATCTTCTCTTATAAAACAGCATTTGTCAACTATATTAATTCATAGATACCCACAGTATGTGCAAGGTGGGACAAGTGATAGATGGCAACGCCACAATACAAAATCCATCTCTTGTGTATTTGTGTGGAATGTCCCAATGCTGGTACTAAAGCTAAAGTTTTATCATTATGTGTCATCACATTTGGGAATATGGTAAAATAAGATAAAGGTGTCCTCCGGGTTTTACCCTGCTAATGATTGACTTTAGGTGATGATGTTCATCTCCATTTTTTAAGTCAAAGAGGCAGTGTTGTCTGGCGATATTTCTGCAGTCATGTGGCTGGCATGATATACTGCAGCATAAAGCATACAGCGAAACATGGAATGCCTTACTTTCCTGCATGCTTATATGTGATACCTATTCATCTACTTGCATTTGCATGTTTTCAAACTGGTAGGTTGGCAGGAGCTGAACAAGTGATGGTAGCCCACTTGGTCTCACGGCACTTGAATATCAAACTGGTGAGCTGTAGACTTTCAATGGTCTAAGACTCAGCATCTTCACCACTGAGCCACTGTATCTCCTTTTCTTAAAAACATTTGGGAATGGATGCCTATATGGTAACCAACATATCAGTCACTGTTCAGCTGTTTCAATCTCAATTTCATTTTCAATCTGGAGGCTAAATTATATGATAAATTGGAAAGGGAAATAGGTATGTTTAACTGAACGAAGAAAAGGCTTAGGGGTGATGTGATAGCCCTCTTCCAATATTTGAAGGGCTGTCACAGGAAAGAGGGGATCAATTTATTATGCATAGGACCTGAGGCCAGGACAGAGAGCAAGGAGCGGAAGCTTGTCAAAGGGAGATTCAAC